AGTGTTTGCTTAAAAACGAAATATTATGCCACAACACGGTCGCGGACGTCTTATGACTTTTATCCCCTCCCACACACACACACACACAAAACAACAACAACAGAAGAAGAAGAAAAAAAAAGACAAACAAACAAACAAAGTGTGTGCTGTGTGCTTCCACACCTGTTAAATTTGGAACAATACAGAGAAAGAAGATTAGCATAGCCCCTGTGCACAAGGATGACACACAAAAATCCAGAAATGGTCCTAATAAAACAACTTGAAACAACAAACACACAAACAAACAAGGAGTGTGCTGTGTTCAGTGACAAGAAAGAGGGTGTCACATGAATGAGGTGTTTGTGAAGATGGATGTGTGTACACTGTACATGGACCTAGTTGCAAAAGGGAAGAGCAGACGAAGGGGCTCCTTGATTTCGTTCAAAAAATATAATATGTCCGTTTTGACGAAATGGCTGTTATAGAAGATAGTGAGATACATCTGCCGCTCCGAATACCAGGCGATGTATCTTGCCACCAAGTATGGGAAGATTCACTCGCAACTTTTCAAGTCTGGTGGTTAGTGTTGTGTGGCCCTATCTCACACGTCAACCCATCAGTGATATGGCTGACTAACTGTTACAGCTTTTCACTACATTCAAAAAAAAAAAAAAAAAAAAAAAAAACCTTTGAACTTCAAAAGAGAAAGGGCATATGCACACTGACAGCTTTTGACATGTTTTCGGACGGAAATGCAGCCGGATGCAATGCACGTGGAAAAGCACTTGGTCAAACCGAGCAACAGGAGGATCACATCTACTAGCAAGCCGGATCGGGAGATAAACGTCGGAAGTGGTAGATAGGTAGGCCGAGGTGAAATTGAGAGAAAACTGAAGCTTACTCCAAAAAAAAAAAAAAAAAAAAAAAAAAAAAAGAATAGAAGTCAGAACGAATGGCGATAAATCAAATCAATTAACAATTTAAGTTATTTTACGCATTTAAAAAAAAAAAAAAAACATAAATCATAAATGTATATTGTCATGTATCACGCGCCTATGGGGCAAAAGGCATGAACCGTAAAATACGCTGAAGAATCAATATACTCGGACGATTGATTCTTACTCAGAGTCTTTCTTTATTTACCCCTAGCCACAAGTCATCCCTGTATTTTGCCACATACGTGGGTTCGGTCCTCCAAGGCCTGTTCGGACTCTCTTCAACCTGCTCAAGGCTAGATCACCCGGTTTCGGGTCCTGCGCGCTTAGTATTAGTATATGCTCCGGGCTTGGTATAGATCACCCGGTTTCGGGTCCCGCGCGCTTAGTATTTGCACCATGTACTACTGCTAGATCGCCCGGTTTCGGGTCCAGGCTTGAACCATGTCTCCCAAAATAAATCAGTACATACGGCGTAAGACGATTTCACGGATCGAGGTCGGAATGGGATCGGGTGTTTTCACGTCCTACAGGTGTGTTTTTGTGTGTTTTATTTATTATATTATTCATGTATTTTTCATCAAGTTAATTGCAGATTTGTCGTATCTAGTCTAAGAGTCCTTCTGCTGTGCTCTTTGTTTTTCTCTGTTTTTCAGTTTCTTTTTGTTCAAACCTTCCGAGTCTGCAGCAATGAATATGATTTTGTCACATGGAGGAGTTTTGTATTTTGATTACAGGTGTTACCTTATCCAATACAAAAAAGATACAAATTAGTACTCATATGAACTAAATGCACACACTTTGCAAAACGAATAAATAATAAATATAGACATAAAAACTGTCTTCGGCGATATCTTCTCCCTGCAATTTGCAATCACAGCATGAAGGAACTCCTTCCAAGTTCACACACGACTTCAGGAGAAAAAAAAAAACAAAAAACAAAACAAAAAAAAAAACTATGTCTTGTCTTCCTGAGTCAATTTGTTCGCCGACAACGTAGCAGTTGGAGCAAGGACCACAACTTGCCCTACTTTTTCTCTTCGCTGTGAAGCATGAACGAAAATGAAGACGGGAAACCGAGCCAAACGAATCCGTGACGAGCGTTCCCTCTCAAAAAAGCAGCTAGTATTTTTCTCACACAGCAATAACTCTGCCCATTTCGTCAAACCGGATAGACAAAAATATTAACCCACCAGTACCCACCGTGTTTTTAGTTGTTAACGAGGTGGATGAATCGGCCTACTGCGCGGGTCTGTTTTTAGTGACCACCGTGTTTTTAGTTGTTAACGAGGTGGATGAATCGGCCTACCGCACTGGTCTGTATTCATTCACGTGAGAGGGGGCCTAAGAACCCAGCAGTAGGTACCGGTGGTTTAAATACCCTTCCATGCATTCACAGACACTGGAAACATATGCCTGTGCAGGACATGCCAGGCCCCGTTTAACAAATGCCAAGGCCGGCCCCCTGTGGAAAGCATGCATGTGCAATGCATGCCTGGCCAAGTCGAACGCATGCCCTGTGCAAACAAATGCCCCGTGGATTCCGCGTGGGTTCGCTGTGGAACACATGCTCAGTAACTTGGCGTTTTCTTTTTTTTGAGTACAGTGTACACCCAATTCCTAACTGCCTGATTGAAAAAAAATACTGCCACGAACTATATGAAACTATGTGAAACTATGTGAAACTATTTGAAACTATTTGAAAGGAAGGACAAATGTGTTGAGCTGCGCGTCGAGGGACTATAATGTGAAACAAGGGGGGGGGGGGGGGGGGGGGGGGGGGGGGGGGGGCGGGGGGGACTAGGTACAAATGTGTTGAACTGACAATGTGCGAACTGAGGGAAACTGTACGGAAATGGTGCAAAATGACGTGAAAACACTGAAAAGGTGGGGGGAACTGCGTGAAACGGGGTTGACGAGAGTGGAAATGTGTGAAACCATGCCAACCAGTGTGAGAGTGAGACTGTGGTCAAACTGTGTGAACCGGAACAAGTTGTTATCGAACGGTGCCAAACGATCATGTTAAATGCCGACAAACTGTGCAGCTGTGAATTGCAGCTGTGGAACAGAGTGATACTGTGTGAATCGGTATCAGAATGTCAGAATGTGCTGTCAGATGGTGTGGAACAGTGAAACCGTTTCAAACGGTGCCAAAAGATGTCCATTGCTGTCAAATGTCGTCAAACGGCATCAAACGGTATCAAACAATGTTCAACGGTGTCAAACAGTATCAAGCGGAATCAAAAGGTACCAAACGGTTTGTCAAACGGTGCTAAACGGTATCAAATGGTATCAAACGGTTGGTGAACTGCTGTCAAACGGTGCTAAGCAGCATCAAACAGTTTGTCAAAAGGTGCTAAATGGTATCAAACGGCCTGTCAAATGCTGGCAAAATGCTGTTGGACGGCGTCAAACAGTATCGAACAGTATCAAACGGTGCTAAATGGTGTCAAACGGTTTGTCAAACAGTGCTAAACGGTGTCAAACAGTGTTAAACAGTGTCAAATGATATCAAATGTCGTCCAATGCTGTCTAACGGTGTCAAACGGTATCAAACAGTATCAAACGGTATCAAACGGTATCAAACGGTGCTAAACAGTATCAAACGAAACGGTGCTAAGCGGTATCCAACAGTTTGTCAAATGCTGTCAAATGCTGTCAAATGCTGTCGAGCGGCGTCAAACGGTATCAAACAGTGCTAAACCGTATCAAACGGTTTATCAGTGATGAACGGTATCAAACAGTTTGTCAAACTCTGTCAAATGCAGCTGAGGAAAGTGTGAAATGGCGTGAAAAGGTGTGAAGCAGTGAGACCCTACAAACCTCGAGAAGAGCAACCCCACCCACCAACCCCTACCCCCCACCCCCCCTTTACCAGATGCTAGAGACAGAGCAGAAATGCCAACCATCTCCTGACCCCACACTTCTGGATACGCATCTTCATCAATACTAGCATCATGGCCAAAACCATTCTGTGCACTTGCAGATACGCATCTTATTCAATACTAGATCATGGCCAAAACCATCCTGACAGTGGGCACTTGCAGATATTACGCATCTGAATCGACACTAGGATCATGGCCAAAACCATTCTGTGCACTTGCAGATACCCCTCTGAATCAATTCTACGCTACTAGCATCATGGCCAAAACCATTATATGCGCGCTCATTACACACTGACAAAAGCCCACAACACAATCCACTCAGGCTGCAGATGCTTCAAGCGCTTTTCTTAAAAACTCGCCCATGTGCGACACATGAACATCAGGCAGAGTCATCGGAAAAGCATTCCTGCCCCCCCCCCCCCTCCTCCCCCAGCAGCCCACATGGCATACTCGTCCCACTTGCGCCTCGAGTGCTTTTTGAAACTCGCTCACTCCAAGCAAGCTTTCAAGTTTCAGCCCACATGGTCGACTTGTCCTGCTCACGGGGAACGGGACATTCGCCACGACGAGGAATCCAATGCGGACGATACCCGCACCATCATCAAGTGCTTCTCCATGCATGAACACCGTGACCAGCCCCCGCCGCCGTCGCCGACAACCCAGACACCCACTGTGTGCCAGAGGAGATCACTTCTCCAAGCCGATCGATCACAATGACGTTGAAAGTTGAAACCACCATGGGGGCTGGTCGGCAGGGCTGTACATGTCGGCTGGCGCCAGCTGTTCAGTCCACAGCTCTGTGCGCCAGTTGTTCGTTTTACAGCTGTGCCGAGTCTCCACACGACATGTACAGCCCCGCTGACCGAAGCGTTTTTTTTTTGTTTTTTCTTTTTGTTTTTTTGGGAGCTTGAAAAAGCTAGAGAAGTGTAGGGTGAATCACAAAATGTCATATGAAGTGTGTAACTAGGTGTACCACCCGAATAACAGCGCTAAGCCTTTCAAATTGCTACTCGCACAAGTAGAGTGGGGGTCGCTCATTCTCAGCAAGATTGTTGTGCCACCATGTACCTGGACACTTCTGTCATCAATGTTAATACCAAACAACTTCACATTTCAATCCTTTACCAACTTGAAGAAAGAAGATGGCTGGTTCCAACTCATTGGGATGAAAAAAAGGTGGCTGGTTCCAACTCAGGTTCCAACTGGTTGGCAACCAAGATGGACTGTTCCAACTCAGGTTCCAACGCAGGTTCCAACTCAGGTTCCAACTCAGGTTCCAACTCACTGGGAAGAAAAGAAGATGGCTGGTTCCAACTCAGGTTCCAACTCAGGTTCCATTGGAACTCAGGTTCCAACTCAGGTTCCAACTAATTGGGAAGAAAAGAAAGATGGCTGGTTCCAACTCAGGTACCAACTCGTTGGCAAGAAAAAAAAAGATGGCTGGTTCCAGCTCAAGTTCCAACTCAAGTTCCAACTCATTCCCAAGAATAGCGCCTGGTTCCGGCTCAGAGTCATTGGCAAGAAAAAGACGGATGGTTCCAACTCAGGTTCCAACTCAGGTTCCAACTCGTCGGCAAGAAAGATGGATGATTCCAACACAAGTTCCAATTCGTTCCCAAGAAACATCGCTGGTTCCAACTCATTCCCAAGAAAGATGGCTGGTTCCAACTAAGGGTCCAACTTGTCGGCAAGAAAGATGGATGGTTCCAACACAAGTTCCAACTCATTCCCAAGAAACATTGCTGGTTCCAACTCATTCCCGAGAAACATCTCTGGTTCCAACTCATTCCCAAGAAACATCGCTGGTTCCAACTCGTTCCCAAGAAACATCGCTGGTTCCAACTCGTTCCCAAGGAAGATGGATGGTTCCAACTTAGGTTCCAACTTGTCGTCAAGAAAGATGGATGGTTCCAACGCAAATTCCAACTCATTCCCAAGAAACACGGCTGGTTCCAATGCAAGTTCCAACTCATTCCCAAGAAACATTGCTGGTTCCAACGCAAGTTCCAACTCGTTGGCAAGAAAGATCGATGGTTCCAACTCGGGTTCCAACTCATGGCCAAGAAAGGTGGTGGATGGTCCCAACACTAGTTCCAACTCATTAGCAAGACAGATGGCCGCTTCACTGACCTCCGTTCCGCCAACAACGAGTTCGGTATAACGAACGAGAATCGGAAGGGCCCTTCACCTGCCACCAACATTACCATCATCTTTGACAACGATGATGATGATGATGATGAGGAGGAGGAGGAGGAGGAGGAGGAGGAGGAGGAGGAGGAGGTTCATGATGGCGATGGTGACTAGGAGAATTGCTGCACCAGCATGCTTGGCCTGCTGACATTCAGTCTGAGACAACCAATCGACATGAAAGACAAGAGGACACAACAGTGACCGTGCACAATTATACCAAACGAACTCATGAAGGATCTGACTAAAGCAGAAAAAAATCCAAGCAACTGAACTACTCTGCAACCGTACAATAAAAAGGATGGACGTGACGTCACCTGTCCATCTGTCTTCAACAAGATCCTGAAGCTTAGGACAGCTTTTGCACCCCTTCAGCAACCGGCAGCCCGATTCATCATCTATAGGCGCCAAAGTCATAATCATGCACCCCCCTTTACCGACTGCCAACACTTTCTTCATGATTATCGCCACCCACTAGTAAACAAACAGCAGTCCATGTCACCATCCTGCACCCAACTCTCTCTCTCTCTCTCTCTCTCTCTCTCTCTCTCTCTCTCACACACACACACACACACACACACAC